GCTTGTCTAAAAGGAAATTACGAAATTACAATACAATTGGGTTTCGAGATCTCCGTTCTTCCTTTTCATCTCGGCGACTTTCCTTTCCAAGTCTCGATTGCTCTCCCTTCCGTCAACCAAGTTAGCCTCCAACTTTGCGATTTTCCCCATTAAATTCGCCTCGATTTGAGCCATTTTTGCTGTTAAAAGACTCATCTCGACGTCTTGTCCTTTATGTTCCGCTCTCTTGCGCTGAATACTCAAATTACTCACTACTCAAAATCCAAAAAAGATGAGCTTGAATTCTTCAAGATTTCTTGATTTCACCCACATTTCCGTCTGGAGTTCGAGGATGTTTCCTCGAGTCTCGACAAGCTCTTGTTGGGTTTGATTCCTGAAAAGTCTTGTCATTGAGACACTCAAGCCTAGCTCTTGTTTATTCAATTAAATTCGCTCTATTGATTGGCTTGGTTGAAAACATAGCTATTAGAAGGGAAAAGAATACGTGAATTGATCCAATTGAACGCTTTGTTGAATCGACGAAGAAATTTGATGGAAAAGGAGGAGAATCGTGATGAATAGAGCGACGGCCATCACACCCATTCAGCTGAATTGGTTTATTAGTTTTGAATTCGGGGAAATGGGAAGAACGAATGAGGCGACGATGCGATCAACAATTATTTTTTCGCGAAAAAGAGCCTTTAGGAGCTCTGAAATTGTTGAGAAAAGCGATCTTCTTCCAACCGACGATTGACTCATTAAGCCGTTGAAACAATCGCTACGAATAGGACTTCGTGCAAAAAAAGTAGCATTTGGGGAGAAAGAAAGCCGTCAACTCGTGATGAATAAATCAGGAGGCTACTTTCTTGCAAAAACTCGGAAGCTGAGATATGATTTTGCAAAGAACTACGAGTGTTGGACTTCCGATGACTAGGCCCGAGTCATTTTCATCGATGAGACTAGAATCAATTTATACTATCCGGACGGTAAACATTTAATCAGAAGACCAATTGGACAACGTTATAAGCTCAAATACGTTAAGCCAGCGGTCAAATTCGGTGGTGGGAGTATTATGTTGTGGGGTAAGTGTTCACCCTATTTTTCAGAATTGAATCATTTCGATTTCTTACCGAGTTCTTGAACTAAATCGTTCTCTTCCTGACTGTGAATGGAGACTAAATGGCCCTTTCGACTCGCACAATATGCTTAAAACCCCTTTTATATCGCCGTATTTACTTTGATCTTATTTTTTTGCTATAAAATCCTTTTCCACCCTAAGTCGCATCCAGAATTTCAAAGCCTCTTGAAAGTTGTGGAAATTCCTAGAAGTACACGTAGTCATCCTTATCGAATTTCGGTCGGTTCCCATCCTCATCATCTTTCCCTTCATTATTCTTTTGCGAACCGTATTAGTAGGGTATGGAATAAGCTCCCGTCTGGTTTCTTCTTATCTGTAGGAAAATTCAAAGTATCTGTAAACGGATTAGATCTTATTGCCATGTCAAATCTGCCCTATATTTAATCTTTTTGTACCTGTGTTTCCTAACTGTAATCTTACTGTACTATTTGTAGTTTTCTTTCTTTTTTTTGTGAAAGTATTGTAGCATTATGTTATATGCGGTTATTATTATCTGATTCGCTTCTATTCGCCCCCTGAATAAAGCATATATTGGGTTGGGGAGAATGAGTCGGCGCCAAACTTTAAAGGGACTTTTTGCACACATAAAGCCTTCTTGGAGGCTGATTCGGTTGACGGAAGGGAGAGAAATCGAGAATTGGAAAGGAAAATCGACGAGACGATAAAGAAAAACGAAGATCTCGAAGCACAATTGTACTAGTTTTGTAATTTCCTTTTAGACAGGATCAAACTAAAATATAGATAAAATTCGAACTTTTTTAGAAGAGCTCGAAATCTGGAGTTGAGAGACGGAAAAGCCAAAATTGGAGAGCTCGAAGGGAAAATTGAAAGAATCAAAACGGTCGAAATCGCCAAGTTGCAGGCAGATTTGTGAGTTTTTTAAGGAAAAGGATTGAGTATTTTTCTAAGAAACCTGGAGTAAAGTTTTTCAAAGAAATTCAGAAATCAGACGATGACTTTCTTGGATCTCTTGGATCTGGAGAGATGGTCGTATTTGGCAAAAGCCGATTCTTGGTACAGGGTTTGGTGGATGTTGTGAACCAAAATTATCTCGTCCCCAGGTTATCGATCAAAATATGACATTTGATGAAGCCGAGGCATATTGTGCGAGTCGAAAGAGCCGCTTAGTCTCCATTCACAGTCAGGAAGAGAACGATTTTGTTTGAGAACTCGGTAAGAAATCGAAATGATTCAATTCTGAAAATTCATGATTTTCGTAGAAATTTATGCTTTATAAACCAAGAACAACCGATATTTATTTCAGCGAAAACTGTTGATTCGAATTGGGCGTTCTGGATCGGACTGAAGGTTGAATTTTTCTTATTGAAAGACATAAATAAGTATATGGAAAGTAATGATTCTTTCAGCCATTGTCAGAAGGCTCTCTGTGCAAAAATGATTCGTTTCACTGATAGTTCTTTGACAGAAATCTGAAATGATAGAATTTATCGAAATCTAATTTGAATTGAAAAATTAGAATAGTTTTAAAATGGAAAAAATATGGTTGAAATAGCAATAGTGAAACATAAAAATTTCTTTATTCAGAGAAATCCGAACAAAGGAAATGCTTTTGAATGGATGGATGGAAGTTCGGTGAATTTCACGAATTGGTATCTGGGAGAGCCGGATTCGAGAGCCCACGCTTTCGTGAGATTTTCAACGTGAAATCATCGACATTTATTCCAATTTCCAATGCATAATTAATCCAAAAATATTTCGATCAATCTGCGGAAATTTCCTTTAATGAAATAGCGCAAATTGTTTTATTAAAGGATTTCCATCAGAAATGAACTCATTTCAGCTTAATAGCCACACTGGGAAATGGGATCAGTTACCTCCTACCTTTCATTCAGCTTTTATCTGCAAAAGGAGCTCCCAACTCTGATCAATATCTTATTTTCCTTTCTATGGACAAAAACCAATAAATCCCATTTTATTCAATCTTCTGAAAACACAGAACTGCACATTATCGTTCGTTTCGTCAGTTTTTGATTTTGATTGATTCGATTCTTTCAGTGATTGATTAGACGTTTTTTGAAAAGTTTATTCCAAATTAAATCAATTTTACCAAATCAGTAACCATTGGAATTCCAGCGCTTAAACTACTTTATATTAAAATCTCCTAAGTCTGCCAACTTCTCAATCTCCTTCAACTTGATAAATTATCTCCGACTTTCAAAAATTGCCTGATTTGTGTAATGTTCGTTCACTATAAAGTAACTGTGATATATTGTATGGTCGAATAAATTCATGATGAAAAAATTTTAAGTATCATTGTTTTTTGCTGAAGATTCAATTTCAAAGTTCATAGAAAAGCACAAAAATCTTTATAAGCTAAGTGGTTCATTCATTTTGCCCGTTTGGTTTCGAAGAGGCCATTGAAAGGACAAAAGACGACTGGAGGTTCAAAATGATCGAATTCACTAGTCCGGCAGAGAAACTTTAGCCGATGGGAGGGTTACTTTAAATGTAGCGATATTCTGGAGAATTAAAGAAAAAGTCTATGCATCATTTTTGTAATCTTACTCGAATTAGATATCCACTGCTTTGTGGTCTTTTTCAGGCCGAAACAAAGGAAAAGAAACCATTCACCCATTTCTTGACTCGAACTGACGAGGTTCATTTAAAATAGTCTATATTGGACTGGTACATGTTCACAGGTTCTTTAAGTCAGTATTAAGCTTGAGCAAAGCTGTGTAACCAATTCGGTACTCGCTCGCACTTGCTCTCGGTTTTTTCTGTTTTGTTTTCGATATTGACGCCGATCAATCAAATTGTTCGTATTTTGTGCTACGCGTCGATGGAAAATTGACGATTGAATAGAACTTTTCATCCTGTATTTCGAGATAGTCACGATTTTGTGTTTCAAATTAAACTTGGACTTGAACTGAACTTAAACTCAACTTGAACTAAGTGATAGCTACCAGGACTCATCTTTGAAAGTACTAGTATACAAAAGTAGTTAATTAAACCAATAACTATCCTGTTTTTCGGTTTGCCAAGTGGGCTTTTAACTTTTGTCAGGGTTTTACGCTATTCAAATAGATCCGAATAGGAAGCCAAGAATCAAAATCGACTAGTTTTATTTTAAAACCTGTCATTGATCTTGATACTGGCGTGCATCTTGATGAAAGCTGGCTGTTAAAACTAAAGTCAACACTAACATTAAACCCAGCAAGGCCTAGTTTTCACAGCTTGGTCGACTAGCACGAGTAGCGAGTGAAGAGGTCCGCCGAAAGAGATGCTGTTGGATAATCGCTTTGAGTTTAACAAGGATTTCTTTTCAATCAAAGGAGTCCCTGTTAGTCCAAATTAATTAGAATAATGGCATAGATCGAAAGCTCGGCGTTCTGTGGTTCGATCGAGAGGCGATCAATTTGTTATCATTTTGCAGATTAGCTCAAGGGCCTAGATTAGGAACAAAGCAGAGCAAAGTTTTGATGGAGATCACAAAGAGAGAAACCCGTGTGGGCTTGAATGAAAACTTTATTATTGTGAGCAGTTATTAAATGATCAGGGACTCCTTTGATTGAAAAGAAATCCTTGTTAAACTCAAAGCGATTATCCAACAGCATCTCTTTCGGCGGACCTCTTCACTCGCTACTCGTGCTCAAAGAGATTTTGGATTTGGACAAAGAAATTCGCTTAGCTACACTTCATTCTTCGCAAACGACGCCGAGAACATCACGAGGCAAATGAATGGGGAATTTCGAATGAAATCCATACTTTCAGTTTAACATCACCAACGGGCATCTAATAGTCTATTCAAGAGCGACGAGAGAGCAAAATACTTGCAGCTTCAGGCGGAATTCTGGATTTTTGGGAAAACTTTTCATATGAGCTCTTGAACAAACAATTCAGAAATATTTAAAAGTATTTATCAGAATTGAGAGCTCATTTTGCAGATAAAACGATACAGATTGGTAGGAGCATAGGCTCCCCATTTCCCATGGCCGCTCCAAAGCTGAAATGTATTCATTTCTGATGGAAATCCTTTGATAAAACATTCTCCGTTATTTTACACAAATAAATCTCCTAACATTGATCCAAATATTTTTGGATTAATTATGCATTGCAGATTGGAATAAATATTGATGATTTCACGTTGAGAATCTCACCGCAGCGTGGGTGTACGAATCCGGCTCTTCCACCCTCCAATTCGTGAAATCCACCGAGCTTCCATCCGTCCATTCAAAAGCATCTTCTCTGTTCGGATTTCTCTGAATAAAGCAATTGTTATGTTTAGACCTATTTCGATCCGATTTTCTTTTCTTATTATTGAAATTATTCTAGTTTCTCAATTGAAACCATTATTTCTATCAAAGAACTATAAGTCAAAGGGCTCATTTTTTCACAAAATGGCTGAAAGGATCATTACCTTTTATGTATTTATGTGTTTCAAAAAGAAAAATTCAACCTTCAGTCCGATCCAGAAACTACTATGCCACCGAACAGTTCTCGCTGAAATTAATCTCGGTTGTTTTTGGTTTATAAAGCATAAATTTCTGTGAAAATCATAAATTTTCAGAATTGAATCCTTTCGATTTCTTACCGAGTTTCCAAATAAAATCGTGCTCTTCCTGACTGTGAATTGTGACCAAATGGCCCTTTCGACTCGCACAATATGCCACGGCGTCATCAAATGTCATCCATTGATCAAAAGCCTTGAGATAAAGATAATCCTGGTTTACAACCTGCACCAAACCTTGTACCAAGAAGCGGTTTTTGCCAAATAAGACCATCCACCCGGATCCAAGAGATTCATCGTTCGATTTCTGAATTTCTTCGAAAAACTTTACTCCAAACTTTGTAAACAAATACTCAATCCTTTTTCTTAAAAAAACTCACAAATCTGCCTGCAACTTCATGATTTCGGCCGTTTTATTTTCTCTTTCAAATTGTCTAAAGAGGAATTGATTGGCTTGAGTGGAATGGATGTTTTGGGAATGAAAAAACTGTTTTCTCACGTCTCAGTCAACAAGATATACCAAATGAACTCACATTTGGGTTTCGAGGTCAGAGTTTTTGCTCTGCAACGCGTTGATTTTCCCGTCGAGCTCTCCAATCTTGGTCTTTCCTTTCCTCACTTCCGTATTTTCAGTTCTTCTGAAAAAGTTCGCATTTTAACTATATATTGAGCTTGTCAGAAAAGAAAGTCACAAAATTAGTACAATTGTGCCTCGAGATCGTCGTTCTTCCTTTTCCTCTCGGCGATTTTCCTTTCCAATTCTCGATTTCTCTCCTTTTCGTCCTCCAAATCAGCCTCCAACTTCGCGATTTTCAAATTCGCCTCGATTTGAACCATATTTGCTGCCAATCGACTAATCTCGACCTCCTTGTTCATTTTCATTTCTTCCCTAAATCCTTCGATTAAATTAAAGACTGTTCTTGATAGAAGCAAAGATTTGGCAAAAAACCCACAAATCGGCTTCGAGTTGGGCGATTTTCTTCAACGAGATGGCCGGTTCTTCTATGCGTTTGACACTCTTTTCAGGCAATTCTTCAGTCATTTCCGGCATTTCTGGAGATTTGGAAAATGAAGAGATGCTCTGAAGAGATCGAGGAGGAAGATTTGAGAGATTGTCCATTTCGGTTGCTAGACGATTGGATGCTACAAAATAACAGAATTTTCTTAAAGAACAAGTGAAAATTAAAGGAAACAGCTACTAAATAAGCAAAATAGGGATTTCTTACCACGGAAAAAAATTAAAGAGAAAGGAGGGGAATGCCCGATTTACAAATGACAGGGAATTTGAGTTTGAAACGGCTCAACGTAACGATTTTTTTTGGAAAGATGAGCCATAATGGTGTTCGTTGTTCAATCTCGTCAGAATCGTTGTTCAATCTCGTCAGATTCGGAGAGGGCTCATTTTTTCACAAAATGGCTGAAAGGATCATTACTTTTTATGTAATTATGTCTTTCAATAAGAAAAATTCAACCTTCAGTCCGATCCAGAAATTATTATACCACGGAACAGTTCTCGCTGAAATAAATATCGATTGTTTTTGGTTTATAAAGCATAAATTTCTACGAAAATCATGAATTTTCATAATCGAAATGATTCAATTATGAAAATTCATGATTTTCGTAGAAATTTATGTTTTATAAACCAAAAACAATCAGTATTTATTTCAGCGAAAACTCTTGCGGAACGGGGGTTCTGGATCGGAATGAAGGTTGAATTTTTCTTATTGAAAGACCTAAATAAATAAAAAGAAAGTAATGATTCTTTCGGCCATTTTTCAGCCAAGTTTCTCTGTGAAAAAATGAGCCGTTTGACTGATAGTTCTTTGATGGAAATCCGAAATGATAGAAATTGATAGAAATCTAATTTGAATTGAAAAACTAGAATAGTTTTAAAATGGAAAAAAATTTGGTTGAAAGAACAAAGTGAAACTTAAAAATTTCTTAATTCAGAGAAATCCGAACAAAGGAAATGCTTTGGAATGGACGGATGGAAGTTCGGTGGATTTCACGAATTGGTATCCGAGATACCCGGATTCGAACACCCACGCTTATGTGAGATTTTCAACGTGAAATCATCAATATTTATTCCAATTTCCTATTCATAATTAATCTAAAAATATTTCGATTAATCTGAGAAAATTTCTTTTTGTGAAATACCGCCGATGTTTTATCAAAGGATTTCCATCAGAAATGGACACATTTCAGCTTCAGAGCTACCATGGGAAATGGGCGGTCTGGTCTCCTGCCAATCAGCGTCCTTTTATCTGCAAAAGGAGTTCTCAATTCTGATGAGTTCTTTATGTTCTTTTCTATTTCTATGGACAAATACCAATAAATCTCATTTTATTCAATCTTCTGAAAACACACAACTGCACATTATCTTCTTCTTTATTTCTGAATTGTTTGTTCAAAATCTCTTATAATAAGTTTTCCCAAAAACCCAGAATTCCGCCTGAAGCTGCAAGTATTTTGCTCTCTCGTCGCTCCTGAATAGACCATTAGATGCCCGTTAGTGATGTCACATTGAAAGCAATCAAAATGGATTTCATTCGAAATTCCTCATTCATTTGCCTTGTGATCTTCTCGGCGACGTTTGCGAAGAATTACGTGTAGCTAAGCGGATTTCTTTGTCCAAATCCAAAATCTCTTTGAGGCACGAGTAGCGAGTGAAGAGGTCCAGCCAAAGAGATGCTCTGATCGCTTTGAGTTTAACAAAAATCTCTTTTCGATCAAAGGAGTCCCTGTTACTCCAAATTAAATAGAATAGATCAAAAGCTACAAACTTTTACGAGTCTCCGCGCCAGCCAGCGGGCAAAGCGAGCTATAGTGAGCTTTGAGCGGAGGTCAGAAGAATTAAAGGACTCACTGAAGCGGTGCTTGTCCCCGTGTTCTTAAATCCGTACGTCGATAGATGTGCTCGGACTTGACGGGCATCACAACAGGACGACCAGCCGCTTTGAACCCGCAACCCTCAGTGCGATCGTCACGATGTCCGGAACCCGATAGACGACTAGATTGAATAGATAGGCTAAAGCACACTCAAACAAACCTCACATAACGATATCCAGGATTCTCGGGTAGTTGACGGCTGTACTCGACGGTGAACGAGCCGAAAAACGACCGAAATTGTTTTCTTGAATTTGGCGCTGAATTGTCATGGGATTGATAACATTTCGGTGTTATTTCGATTTTCAGGTCATTTTGGAAAATAATCAGCTCGGTAGTTGAGTGTTGGAACTCTTATGCTTTTTGCCAACTTCATTTGTTTCTGCTCTTCAAAATTTGTTGATTACATATTTTAGCAGAGCACACGGGGACAAGCACCGCTTCAGTGAGTCCTTTAATTCTTCTGACCTGCGAGCAAAGCCTTCTGACGCTGGCTGGCGCGGAGACCCGTAAAAGTTTGTAGCTTTCGATCTATGCCGTTATTCTATTTAATTTGGAGTAAGAGGGACTCCTTTGATCGAAAAGAGATTTTTGTTAAACTGAAAGCGATCAGAGCATCTCTTTGGCCGGACCTCTTCACTCGCTACTCGTGCCCCAAAGAGATTTTGGATTGGGACAAAGAAATCCGCTTAGCTACACGTAATTCTTCGCAAACGTCGCGGAGAACATCACGAGGCAAATGAATGGGGAATTTCGAAGGAAATCCATTTTGATCGCTTTCAGCTTGACATCACTAACGGGCACCTTAAATAGTCGACCATTCTGCAGAAAAAGCCGTTCAAGAGTATAATGTAGTGATATGTACATAGCTAAATGATTTCATCGAACCAACTTCGTCTGAAAATGGGATTTCATTCAAAAAAATCAAAGACGAGTGGAGGGACGAGAAGAGCGACCTTCCCGAAGAATTGTCAGTTTACTCATGCTGATATCCATTGATGTTCAACACGTTTATCTAATACTCTATTCAGGAGCGACGAGAGAGCAAAACACTCTCAGCTTCAGGCGGAATTCTGGGTTTTTAGCAAAACTTTTTATATGAGAATTTGCACAAACAATTCAGAAATAAAGAAAAAGATAATGTGCAGTTGTGTGTTTTCAGAAGACTGAATAAAATGGGATTTATTGGTTTTGGTCCACAGAAAAGAACACAAAGCATACCTCAGAATTGAGAGCTTTTTTTGCAGAGAAAATAATCCTGATTCGTATGAGGATGGGTCAGCCATTTCCCGTCGAAGAATTGTCAGTTTCCTCATGCTGATGTCCATTGATGTTCAACACGTTTATCTAATAGTCTATTCAGGAGCGACGAGAGAGCAAAATACTCTCAGCTTCAGGTGGATTTCTGGGTTTTCGGGAAACAATTTATATGCGATCTTGAACAAACAATTCAGAAACAAAGAAAACGATAATGTGCAGTTGTGTATTTTCAGAAGCTTGAATAAAATGAGATTTATTGGTTTTTGTCCACAGAAAAGAACATAAGGAATTTATCAGAATTCAGAGCTCCTTCCGCAGATAAAAGGACGCTGATCGGTAGGAGACCAGACCCTCCATTGCCCATTGTGGCTCCACAGCTGAAATGTGTTCATTTCTGATGGAAATCCTTTGATAAAACACTTTGCGTTACTTTACACAAAAAAACTCCTAAGATTCATCAAAATATTTTGCGATTAATTATGAATAGGAAATTGGAATCAATATTGATGATTCCACGTTGAAAATCGCACCGCAGCGTGGGTGTACGAATCCTGCTCTCCCGATCTCCAATTCGTGAAATCCACCGCACTTCCATCCGTCCATTCCAAAGCATTTCCTTTGTTCGGATTTCTCTGAATAAAACAATTTTTATGTTTAAACATTGATATTTCGATCCAATTTTCCTTTATTGTTATTGAAATTACTCTAGTTTTCCAATTAATACCTTTATTTCTACTAGAGTTTCACTGTTGATATTTCAACCAAATCTTTTCCATTTTAAAACTATTCTAGTTTTTCAATTCAAACCATGATCTCTATCAAAAAACCATCAGTCAAACGAATCTTTTATCACAAAGAGCCTTCCGAAAATGGCCAAAAGAACCATTACTTTCTATTTATCTATTTCTTTCGATAAGAAAAATTCAACCTTCAATCCGATCCAGAACCAATTCAAGGAATCAACAGTTTTCGCTGAAATAAATATCGATTGTTTTTGGTTTATGAAGCATGAATTTCAACGAAAATCATGAATTTCCCGAATTCAATCATTTCGATTTCTTACCGAGTTCGCAAACAAAATCGTTCTCTTCCTGACTGTGAATGGAGACTAAATGGCTCTTTCGACTCGCACAATATGCCACCGCTTCATCAAATGTCATTCCTTGATCGATAACCTTGGAATGAAGATAATCCTGATTCACAACATCCACCAAACCTTGTACCAAGAAGCGGTTTTTGCCAAATACGACCATCCATCCCGTTTCAAGAAAGTCATCGTACGATCTCTGAATTTTTTCGAAAAACTTTACTTCAGATATTTTGGATAAATACTCAATTCTTTTCCGCAAAAACTGATCAATCTACCTCCAACTTTTTCCCCTTTTAGATTGTCTAGAGAGGAATTGATTGGATTGAGTGGAATGGGTGTTTTGGGAGTCAAAAAAACCGTTTTCTCAAATCTCAGTCGACAAGAAATACCAAATAAACTCACATTTGGGTTTCGAGATCAAAGTTTTTGCTCTGCAACGCGTTGATTTTCCCTTCGAGCTCCCCAATCTTGGCTTTTCCGTCTCTCACTTCCGTATTTTGCTCGCTTCTAAAAAAAGTCCGATTTTTATCGATATTCTAGGTTGAGCCTAAAAGGAAATTACAAAATTAGTACAATTGTGCTTCGAGATCGTCGTTCTTCCTTTTCGTCTCGGCGATTTTCCTTTCCAATTCTCGATCTCTTTCCCTTCCGTCAACCAAATCAGCCTCCAACTTTGCGATTTTCCCCATTAAATTCGCCTCGATTTGAGTCATATTTGCTGCCAATCGACTGATTTCGATGTCTTTGTCCATTTCGGTTGCTAGACGATTGGGTGCCTACAAAATGATTGAATTTTCTCGAAGAACAAGTGAAAATTAAAGGAAACAGCTACTAAAGAAGCAGAATTGATGAGAGAAGACAAAATCAAACAAGAAATTTGTTGCCAAGCAAAATTGGGTTTCTTATTAAAACGAAAACTGCTACAAAACAACAATGATTTGAGGCAAGAAATAGAATGAGGATGCAAGGATTTCCTCAAGAATTTACCAATATTCACACTACCAGGATTAGAGGGCCTTTTTATTGGCTAATCCCCACAGTAATGTCTTTTTCAGTCATTTTCGAAATGGCTCTTTGTGGAAAATAATTGAGTGATTGAATGACTCAATAGATCTGAAATTAGACTTTTCTTGTTTTCCTTTTGTTCTGAAAAATGTAAGATTGGCTAATTCAAGAGCATGCGAAAAATAAAATAATTACTCGACTGAATGTGACAATTTTCTTTGGAAAGATGAGTCGTAATGGTGTTCGTTGAGAACAGGAATTGATTCTCCAATCGTCCGTATTTGTTGTGCTTCTCAAAAGAGATTATCCAATGATTTCGAACGATTCCCCCAGAACTTTCGATACGGATTCTGTCCAATTTTCGGGAAAACAATCATTTGTGTTGAGATCGGTGGCTTTCCTCTTCTCCAAGAACTTTTCCATTTCCAAGGAAATTAAAACAATCATTGGCCTTTCAATCTTGAGGAATCATGAAGCATTCTTAAAGAATTCTTAACAAAACTCTGCTTTCCTTTCTTCCTCTTTCCGCCTTTTTCCAAAAACTCGCGAAGTTCCACCCTAAAATTTATATACTTATTAGCCTTCTCAAATCTTTCTTACGTCAGTCCACGAAGACCGATTAATGTGAAGAAATTGATGGCGAAGCGAGTATTGGCTGGGTTGTCCTCAGGAAAAAGCCCCTCAAACACATGTTGCAATTTACTAAAAATTATTGAATTCTAGAAAATCTCTAAACTTACGGATCAAAGATCCTTTCATACAGCTTTGGAAGTCCCATCATTTGAGCCAATTCAAGGAGAATGGTCTTGATCTAAATCCTGCCCGAAGAAGTTGTCCCATTCTCGTTCAAATGGATTTCGCTCAAAACCTACATTTGAACACTTTAAATCTGGATACGAAAAAGTAAATATTCGCATCAAGACTTACATCCCAAGTAATGGCATCTGTAAAAAGCAAATGAGTTATTAAACGAGCCATATACCTCAGTTTCGTAATATCAAAGTGATGGATAGTTTGATAAGTCTCACGAGCTATCGTCTCAGAAGTAGCCTAAAATAAAAAAATCTCATATACTTTTGAAACTAACTTGAAATTCACGTTTCAGCCGACAAAAACGCTCGCAAAGAAGTCCATAGAACCTTTCAGAAGTACGTTGCTGTGCACAACAATCAACGAGCATGTGAATGAGTTCCGGTTAAAATGAAAAGAAATGTGGCTCTTTTCTATTACTAAGTACCTTAAAATTTAAGAAAAGCGGGTTCCACGGTTAAAGTACCTAGTAATTGGAAAGAGCCAAAAATGTTTTATATTCTATCAATAAGCTGACGACATAAAAACTAACAAAATTCAGAACGTACCTCTCCAAACTAGCTTTAAGCTATGCCATAAAAACTGTACACAAAGACAACCCCACCTGGACATTCATGTAACCGTCGACCGAGATGAGGACGCCTCGATATTCCATTCCCCATCTCATCTGCACACAACTGGCTTTCCGGCGAGTCCATTGAGGAACGGCTTTGGGTTGGCTGGTTGAACAGACCAGTCAACCCAAAGTCAACCAAAAATTCTCTGAAAACAAAATTAAAAACGAATTTAAGTAGATAAAATGTTAAAAAGAGAAAGATTGACGCTGGAAGGAGTCCTCGTAAACAAAAAGAACGTTTTTCGGGATAATTTTTGGAAGAAAAGGATTCGAATACAAGACAGGCATATAACTAGGCGCTCTATGGAGGGACAGTGTGGTTTTTGCACGAGAGAAGAGAAAGGGTGACAGAAATAGAAAAGCGTAAAAATGTAAGATTGCTAATTCAAGTGCACGCGAAAAATAAAATAATTGCTTGACTGAACTTTTTTAAACCATTAGAAGTAAGTTAAAGATATTCAGCTAAATAATCAACGTCTACATTTTTTGAAATAAAATGCTTATCAGAGTGGATCTTGAGAAATTTTCGGCGTTAAAGCTTACACCTTTTTTAAACATTTTTTGATTTTGGTGATACTAGCTCAACGCCCCTTTCTTCATCTCAAATATGCCTATGCTTTTACAGCATTTATAACATGTGCCAAGTTTCATATTGCCGTTTTTATTTGATTTAAAAATCCAAGCAGCTTTGAGGTAGCGTTTGGTGGTTAAAGTACATGAGGCGAGAATTGGCAAAATTTGCTAAAGAGTCATCTATTAATCTATTAAGCATATTTGATTACCTTAGAATAGGTAAAAAATATCAATATAACCACTCAAAACATTAGATCCGACTAAGCCAGGATAAAAGTGGCCCCTCCCAAATACCAAAGTAACTTTATTTTTTATACTTAACTAATTGCTCAGCTTTTCAGTGTTGTGAGTGCCGTTTCCAAGGAGAGCGATTTTCTCATTTTCGAATCAACTAATCAAGAGTTTCCGTATCATACCATAGTTTTGATTCGATGTATTGCGGCCAAAAGTATCTTCAGCTGGGAGTAGATCAAAAGAGAAAACCTGTTTGGAAAGAAGGGACTATTTCAGAGAGGCGCGGTATGTTTATAGGCACCATTGAAGATGGAGATCCTCCTCTGCAACCCATCTCTCCACTATATTTCTTAGATTTCTCTTGCATGCGTAGAACAACCCCTTAGAATCACCATTGCTAAGGGTTCTCGTTGATCTCTATTACCGTATTCACTCTAATACAATCTGTCAAAAAATTATACAGGGTGTCCCAGAATTACGGTAACCGGCTCTGCCCCGCTGCTTTGCCCGTTTTTGAGTTTTGAGTTGCCTGTGATTTAGCTTTTTTTGGTTTATTCTCTTTTTTTGAATGTTTTGTTAATGTTTACATCAAAATCTGATTTTAAATTTAGAATGACGAAGCCTTCTGCTCATCGTAACTCGATCATTCAACTTCACAAAGGCGGGACCCGAGCGATTGATATTTCAAAGCGATTGAAAGTCTCGAAGAAGCTGGTTTCGACGACTATTGCAAGATTCAAGGAACTGGGCACCGATTTCGATCGGAAAGGAAGAGGTAACAAACGATCTGTTATCAACAAAGCCATCATCAAGAAGGTGCGCGACCGTGTCCGTTTGAATCCGTTCCGTTCAGTAAGAAAAATGGCCTCACAACTGAAAGTCTCAAAAAGCTCGAATCTTGAGAAATCACTTGCACTTCAAAGCCTATAAATTGAGAAAAGCTCAACTTCTTACGGATGGGGTGAAAAAGAAGCGGGAGCAACGAGCTAAGGATTCAGGATTGGTGTGCTAACAACTTCCCAGACTTCATCAGGTTCAACCAATGGCCACCTTCGTCCCCGGATCTCAATCCAATGGATTTCTCTGTATGGAGTGTTTTGGAGTCCCAGGCTTGCGCAAAATCACATAAAACAGTGGAATCGTTGAAGAAAGCGCTTCAAAAAGCGTGGGAGGCGATCGATCCACAATACCTTCTCGCTACCGTCGACGCTTTTCCAAAACGTTTACAGGCTTGCATCGACGCTAAGGGATCTCACTTTGAAAAAAATTGAATTATTCTGTTGAATAGTGTTAAAAGAATAAATTTGTTCGTTTACTTTTCGTTCTTGGTCAATTTTGGCTTTCTAGTCCCGCTCCTTACAGGTTACCGTAATTCTGGGACACCCTGTAGACGCACCCTGTTTTTTGCTAGTTTAGAGCCGGATATAAGTGCTAGTCCAGTCCAAAGTATTTTTTTAGTTTCTTTAATGTAAAAAAACAACCCATGCAAAATTTCAAGTCATTTCACTCATCCAAAGTACTTTATCGTACAAAAAACGTTTTATCAGCTGTCAAACAATTATAGACGCACTTTTATTTTATCAAGAAAAAGTTAACAGAAATAAAAATAACAGCGCAAACCAAATAAATTAATAATGTGTCGCCCCTCCTTGCTTTAGTCCAACTTCAAAAAGACGTCTCGGCATCGAAGAGACAAGATCATGGAGCGCTGTTGGCTGAAGCCGATTCCAGGCTACTTGAATGGCTTTCTTGAGTTCATTCACGCTCGAATATTGCTTGTTTCCCTTGTAGACATCTCGAACGAGTGTCCCCCACACATTCTCAATCGGGTTCAAGTCTGGGCTGCAAGCGGGCCAAGCGACAGTGCCGATTTTGTGCGCTGTCAGCCAATCTCTTGTGGAGCGACTTGCATGAATACTCGCGTTATCGTGCATAAAAGTAAAGTTATTGCCCGGATTGTTGTTCAGATAGACGGCTAGATGTTTGTCCAACACTTGTTGATAGTCAAGCGATGTCATCCGGGTCGAAATAAACTCTAAGCCGACCAGTTCACCGTCTTGAAAGGCTCCCCATACCATACATGATCCACCTCCAAAGTTCCTCTTGCTGAAGACCATGCCCGGCTTTCGTGAATCCTTCCAATATCCTCGAAAACCATCAGCACCATCAAGATTGAAGTTCTTTTCGTCACTCCAAATGATCTAAACATAAAATACATAAGAAATACTAGTAAACCAACTCCTTCCCATTTGGTCTTCTGGTTCTTTTGAGCGAAATCGATACGGGCAGCTTTATGGTCCTTTGTAAGTCGTGGAGCTTGCTTCATGAGTTTGTATTTGAGTATTGTAGATCGTTTGACAACGTTGTGCACAGTTTGGCGAATGACCGGAAGCTTCATCTCCTTGCGAACCTCTTCGAGTGATGTCGTCGTGTTGGAAAGACGCCTCGTAA